ACAGAAGCGGAAGGTGGTTCTTAAAGAGACAGAGGCCAATTTCAAGGCGTTTAGAAGAGGAAGTGATGAGAAGATTCGTTTATTTTTCTATGTAAACATAAAAACGGCATTTTAATAACAGCTAAAGGTGACAAATACTTTATTATGGTATAGTATTTAAATGTATGCCTGAGAAACACATAACATTGGCCCTTTAAAGAAAGAAGCAAATTTTATCTGCTTCATGACTGAGTTTACACAATATATGTAATATATTCACTTCTCTACTAATCAGAAGGCAAAAAAAAAATTAAATGTCTTGATCTTTTTTTGGAATTGCTGATTTAACTTTGTCGTGATTGGTTCTTTTTCTTTTGTGGTGTAATCATTTTATTTAATGTTTATTTTATTGTTGTTGTTGTTGTTGTTGTTGTTGTTGTTACATATATTTATTCATATTTTTTATTCTTTTTTCATTAAAAGTTCTTCATTCCCCTTGGCAGCATTTTATTTTCTGTACCATGTTCGAATGTTCAATAAAGGTTTATTTTTAAAAAATGGTCACTGTTTTGGCAGCAATGAATTGTGGGTAATACACTTCACCGAAGTCTGTAAAAATGCAGACTTTGCAGAAGAGTGGAAATAATACCCAAAATGAGCAGGGCGAAGGGCAGATGTGGAGATTGTGGGACACACTACGCACTCAAACCCTTCAATATGAATGCGCATTTGAAGTGCACAAGGGCGGAACGAGGGTGGGAGTGCGGGTATTGGGACAGGGCCAGAGTCGTATTTCTGTGGATTTAGGTCGGATTCATGACTTTGTGGGTTAAAACTGTCAACTGAAAACATTGTGTGGCTGCCGCACATTCTCACGGCAGGTGGAAAGTGTGCACATGTTTACGCAGACTTTCATGCAACGTTGGTTTTGATACATCCCAACGTGGGCGTACAACCTGGCGCACAAACCTTTTTATGCATTTGAACATGAGGGCCCTGATGACCACTGGAAACACTGAGACTTTCGAAAACTTCTTCAGTTACTCTTTCAGTTTTTTTGTATTTCTTAAGATTCTTGTGGTCATTTTTTAAAGTTACAATCATTTTGGATTGCTACATTTATCATTTGTGTAGTTTGTCAACCATCAAAACGTCTTTTTAGTTATCACTTGTTTGTCACAGTCTGGAAGTCCAATCATTCTGCACCACCCTTGCTAGAACTTACCACTTTGATTCTGGGAACTCCATCTTATACTTGGTTCCTGTACACCACATTATCCTGTTTTTTATGTACATTTTGCTTGCCTCTATCTCACACCCTGCCATTATGTATATGGGACATCAGCCTGGATCTTGGGTCCTAGTTGGAAACAAGCTAGCAGATTGGAACAGTAGTATTGTTGTCTGGCTTTGGAACAAGAAATTGGTCAAGATAGGGTTAGGTTCTCTGCCACTGTTCAACAATCTCTTGTTTATGCAACCCATTTTTATTAGAATATCCCGGTGAGTCTGTGTCAAGTATGGGATGAAAGTCAAAGTGAGAGGTTCCATCAAGAGTGGACAGGACTTCCAGATTCAAACTAATGAACAGGTGATGGCTAACCAACCCATTATTATGGTGGTTGATGAAAAACTGAAGAGGGCAGTGCTGATAAATGTAGCTACAATTACCAAGTGACTACAACATCAAGATAAAAAATAAGCTCTAGAATAAAAAAATGAAGAAGTTATGGAGAGTCAAGGCTTCAGTGGTGCCAGTGGTCACTAGAGCACTTGGGACTCCAGCAGATTCTTGAGACAACAGAAGAGATCTCTGTTAGATGAATATGCATTCCTCAGAACAGCCGAAATACTGAGCGGTGTGTATGCCTGTGTGTGTGTGTGTGTGTGTGTGTGTGTGTGTGTGTGTG